CACGGTTCACGTTTCTGTCAGCATAGCAGCAGTCACAAGAGTCAGCTAGCATGGATTCTCGCATAAAGATAGACAAGTATAGGGGCTGTAGATTTAATACGGGCCAATTAAAGTTTCTCAGCTCTGTCGCACAGCTGTCCCCTCTAGGAGGCAAACAGTGGCATCCAGTCTGCATCTCCAAAATCAAAAGTGTTTAGGCAAAATGATGAGATTCCAGCTCAAAAGAAGAAAAATGATCAGTTGGAAACCGTATTTTCCTTCTTTGGATTCGGGACTCTCTGTGGAATTTCCTGATGTGAACCCCCCCTAACCCCCCAAAAAATGACTGAGTAGAAAAAGTGAGTGTTATTTGGAAATGCAGAATCGTTGCCAATGGTTTCTGGACAGCAGAGAGTTGAACATGAAAGCAGAGCAGCCTCTTTGTATTCAGTCGAAAACAAGCAGCTTTTAGTCAAACGTTCTCTTTGTCTCTTATAATGAATGAAACATCATTTATTTGCTCATTAATAAGCAAGTTATGACCACACAGTAAGCAGGACTCACTGTGTGCGACTACACTCGCTCTGAACAATATCTGGATTCCAGTAAAATATTAAAAAAATATTTAATGAGAAATAAATGAGCTTTTGTAAAAAACTGTCATTTTATTCGCCAATATGTGGTTAAATATGCCGTCAAAGCACAATTTAAGGTTGCAATGCATATTAATTAACAAGGCTATGATCGTGATTTTTAAGCCACATTAAAGTCAAACCTCTACTGTTGATTTACTGTTTTCCAACCTGAGGTTGGCAGACTTAACCATAGGCAGGAGAAAACCAGACTGTGAGAGCAGTATGGTTTGGTAGAAGGGAAAGGGGATTCCTATTTTCTTTTGGACAGTGCACAACTTGAAAAAAAATTGAAATTTGAATGGAGTTGAATAGAGCTGACTTTAGCTTGAACATGTCAGTATATATTTTACCTTTTGTCTAATAAACTGGCAATACTTTTCTTTGCTACAATGTGAGCCTGCACACACAAAAACAGCGGAGCTGTGATTATTTAGAAAAAAAAAGGTTATTCACAATCGGAATAAGTGTCTGTTGTTACACAACTGATGCTATTTATTGTATGTTGGGGCTCAGTTAGATCCCACTGAGGTTAAATCCTTCTAAACACCTGACCATTCAAACCGAATAACAGATGATAACCTTGTTAATTGTGACCTGTTTGGCCGGGAATGTTGTTGACCACAATCACAGACATAAAGCATATGTAAAGCTCTCAGATTTACAGCTGAGTTTACTCAGATACCAAACAGATTCCACATATTCCCTGCAGCGGCCTCCGAAAACATCACCTCAGCTCACGATCGTGTTTACATTCATCTTGTAGATGCAACGTGTGAAATTGTCCCATCTCTTCGGTCTAAACCGACTGAAACTCATCATGGATGTTGTTTTGTAAATCCTTGGCTTATGCAGGCTGTTGGCTCACACAAGAAACTAATTGCTGTGTACCACCGTTAACAGTGCTGCCAACAGCCGTAGACTCTCTCCCTGAAATCAAATCCCCCAAAACCCCTGTGGGGACGTCTGTGGCAATGAATATATTTATCCATGTTTGCGCTAGTCTGATTCAAACATGGATTATCTCAAAACTAACAAATCTCTGCCTCTCAGTCCACATTCGTCACTTTGGCTCACTGTGAGTGAGAAATGTTTGAACGAGGAAGGCGGATCAGTCCTGTGACACCACATGACACAAAACCTTTGAACTTAGGTCAGTCCCACCTGCAGATTGCGAAACTATTCGGTGTTTTCGCTTTGATGTGAAAGCAGCTAAAACGTGGTGGGTGGACAGTCACCTGACTAATTTATGACAAGTGGTGGTGGTGAGTCTACTTGGGTGACCTCACTTGCTTTATTATTAAGTATTAGTGGGACACTCAAATATAGCAATGCCAGTGTTGCGTTTTCAGGCGCAGATACAGTTTCAGACTTCAGTAATGCTTAAACAGGTCTGTGCATAGTGTCAGAGTTTAAACATGGTGCCACTGCAGAAGTATGGATCCATGTTTACACTGTTGCAAAAACATTAAAATTCTGCATTTCTGTTTTCACTAAACATGCAAGAAGTGCTGAATTTATAAGAGATTGTTTCTGCATACTGTTTTTACTTATTAAGGTCTTTGCTTTCAATCACAATTTTGGCCTATAGCGACTTTAGGATAAATAAAGTTGTTATTTGCAGCCACCCCCTTACCACTAGGGGCTGCCACAGCAGATAACTCCACATGTTTGATTTGACAGAGTTCTTAAACGGACGCCAACCCCAAAAAAGTTGTATCTCTGGCAAGAATCAAACCAGCAACCACTACACCAGTGCAGATAAAACAATTATTATGCCCCATTCTAGGTTGTTATAATTATCTTCCTGGAGTTTAACGTCATGATCCGGAGTCTGTTTATCAGTAATCCCCCAAATTTCACATTTTCCTCTCCTGGTGCGTTTCCTGTATCTTGTCTAGTCCCCATCTCTGCATTAGAGAGCCTCTGTTTAGTTATTCCTCATTTTATTTAGTTAGTTTCTCGTGTGTTTTATTTAATTTTGCATCTTTTGTCTCGTTTTCTTCAGTTAGGTTCAGCTGTGTTAACGGGTGTTTTCCATACCCCTGATTACCCCACGTGCATATTTAATCCCTTATGGTTTTCTTAGCTCATTGTTGTGCTGTACTGTGTCAGCTTGTTAGTGCCTCCCTCATATGTTCCTGTTTTGATTACTTTGTGCTGTTCTTTGTCAGCTAACTGGACTTCCTGTTTCAGTTGACCAATAAAATACTTAATACTCTATTTTGTTAAGATATTAAGAAAAAGAGTTGGATTTACTTCCTCAGTAATTGTGTTAAAATTATGATTTAAAACTGACCAAAAATAATTATGATACTGCAGACCAGAAATACTCAGACCAGCCCATTTTACACCACCAAGCATGCCATGTTCAGAGTCACTTCAATTACCTTTCTTCCTCATTCCAGTGCTCCGTTTGACCGTCAGCAGGTTGTTCTAATCATGTCTACATGCCTAAATGCACAGTGTTCCTGCCAGGTGATTGGCTGATTACCTATTTGTCTTAATAAGCAATTGAACAGATGTGCCTAATTAGGTAGTCATGAGTGCATTCCTCATGCTTATGCTGTTACAATGTTGGATGCTCATGTGAAACACTGCCAAAGTTTCAGGCTTCATGCTGCTCTGAATGCTCAGTTTCAGACCGGTTTCTACTCTTGGCTATGTGCCACTGTACATCAATGAGAGTGGAAATCCCTGATATAGTACAGCTTATTACTGGATCATATTGTGCCAGTGCAACACCTCAAGATAAATATTTACAAGTGAGTCATGCAAAGCTACTCTACTAAAGTCCAGGAATTAAAAATATGGGGTTGGGGAAAAAAACACAATACGTCCCCTTTATACATATAAAACTGAAAAGAAAAAGAAAGAAAGAAATAAAATAAAAAGCAAAGATTTCTCCAACATTTCTGTCTGTGAGCTAATTTTGTATGCCTGCATATATACGTCGTTAACACTGGTTCAGCCTTCCAGAAATCCAGCGTCTTCTCAGAGATTCTGACAGGTGCGCTATGGCTGCTCAGCAAGTGTCTATTTTGGGGCGAGTTTGGGAAGGGGCAGTGACATATCGGGACTGAACTGTGAGGGGAGTAGGCTGAGATGGGAATGGCGAGGAGCCTGAATCAGAGCAGCAGTCCAGTGAGCAACTCTGCTCTTCATAAACACATGACCGTTGTAACTACACCCACAAATACTCAGAACTTCGCTTCTGTTTGATGCCATTATCTGTAAGCTCGGTCATTACTCACTTTCTAAGAACATCATCATTTAAAAAAAGCAAACCTGTTATGCCTGTTTTGTTAATGTATTTTTTGTAAACTGGGGGAAGTAAATGAATGACACGAGACTACAAATTAAACCAAACAATCTGTAACTAAGAAGTGAGCAATTATCAATGAAAGTAGGTGAAATGAATCATCTTTTCAGAAAGATGCAAAGATTTCTCGAATTACACCGCCTTCTAAGAGAAACTATGTTATGAATTATGAAGGCATAAATAGCTACCGATTATAATTGCTGTCTTAGAAAAAGGCAACATAACAAACAAGGTGACTAAAAATCACTGAAGCCTCAGTTAAGTTTGTACCAACAATGAGCGGAAAAACAAAACAAAACACTTCAGCCTGGAGCTGACGGTGAACTCCTAGGAGCAGGTCAGATTTGGAGGTGTCCTTACCGAGCCTCCTGATGAGGTCCGTCGTCTTCTCATTCACTTTCCTCCTGTGCTCCCTGGGACTGGTCTTGCCGGTGCCTACGCTTAACATGATCGCTACATAAACTCCAGCGAAATAAACTTAAGCTTGTAACTTTAGGGGTTTGAGGAAGCTGAGGGCGCAGGTGTCCTTAAACTGCCCCAGACAGACCCCCAGCCCGCAGAAAGAGAGCGAGCGAGCGAGAGAGAGAGAACCGACCGCAGGAGTCCCCTCCCCAGATTTGCTACTCATGTTTGTGCGCAGGACTCCAAACGAGTCGCACGCTTCTGGAGCCAACACCTTACTCCTCCTCCTCCTCTTCCTCTTCCTGCCCCAACGAAAACGTAAAGGGACCTTGGTCGTGGATCAGGTATGGTCAAGTCCCCCTCCATACATTAATTTGTATACACACTTGTTTAAATGGTTTAAAGCGCACTATGTGCGCACAGAGTCTCAACAGTTGCGTATCAAAGCCTTTTTGGTTAAATCTGTTCTTCAAAAAAAACCAAAAAACTTTTTATGGGACCTTTTTGTTTTTTGTAAATAAAATAAATAAACCCAAATATAGACTTGTTTGAAATGTTTATTTCGAGTTTATTTTGCGCCGATGCCATGCTGTATTCCAAAAAGAAAAAATGTGCTGTTTCACCTACCTTTTCATATATAAATTTTAAAAAGCTTGCATACTTACATGAATATAGTGGCGTGATTAACGTCCACAGGCAAAGAGCAGGTTACCCTTTGTCTAGGCTCAGCAAACATTTAAACAGCTGAAATCCTTTCTTTCAGAGGAGGTAAAGCAAACATATGACCCTGGTTGTTCAGGCAAACTTTCAAATATGTAAACACCTTCCTCTAAATGGAGATCAAGAGCAGAAAGAAGTGCTTCCACTTTAGTAAAACTGTTCCCCATTCAAATGCCAGTGACTGAGGAGCTGGCGTCCCCTGTTGGTTATTAAAAGTAACTGCTTAGCTCTCAACAACAACAATCAGTTCCGTAATGCCACATTCATCATCTGTGGCCAGTATGTTCATGCTGTCTGCACAGATTTAAAGGGTTGGTTATGAAAGTGAAAACCTGCACTGCAGTCTTTTTTTAATTTTTTGGTTATTAGATGGTGCTCACAGTACCAGAGCACTGCCTACAAACTTAATTAAGTCTTAGTAATGGAGTTATAACAGAGAGCAGAGAGTGACAGAGCTGAGTCACAGCCATGTGCAAAGCAAACACACACGTAAAGGTTTGGTAGGCTGGGTGGATGGAGCCTAAGGTGATGTTTCTTTAACCTGGTCATTTAATGAAGCTGGTGGATTGACTGTTTCCCTTACTAAAACACCCATCTGGACCTGCTGTCTGCACAAACTCCTCCTGCACCTCCTCTTCAGGCCCGTGCACCAGCGTATAATAGTATATTACACATATCTTTCATCTCCGCTCAATTGCAGCAACTACTATGTTGGACAGGGTGAGAGATTAAGTCATGCCTGCTAATCCTCACAAGCTGTGATCTATGCAGGAGCAGCTCTGGTGCTGTAGCTGCGCACCGCTCCTTGATTTGAGAATATGGGAAGCCCTGGTACTGTTTCTCAATCTCCATGGTCATTAGGTTTCATATTAACTAGAACAGATCACCTCCCCTCTCAAAGGATTTCCCAGTTTGCCTTGCTTATTTGCCAAAGCTGAAACTCTGCCTGCTTCTATTAGTAGAAACAGTGGGCCTGTGTTGTTTGTAGCCAGTCTTCACTGGCAGTGTTAGGAGAGACCAGTCACCCAACATAAGGCCACAGACTGAATAACCCACTTCTTCCATTAATGGAAGCAAACTGCTTTGTGAAAACTGGACACAATTTGTGGATGACACAGTGAAGCATGCACAGTTAAGGATTAACACAGAATAATGACTAACTCTTTAACCATTGTGACATCAAATATGTATGCATGTAGTATGCACATGTAAATAATGTGCATCAGAAAACAAATAAAACAAATTAACCATATTAACATATTCCACATAAAGGTTTCAACCTTTTTCTCCACAGCATTTTATTTCCATTTGTTTATTTCACACAAGCCGACAATACAGAAAAGTTGTGAATACTGTAGAAGATTATTGGTTTGGCGAGTTACACCCATCTAGAGCTTGCTAACACTAGTTAACTAAAGGGAAACTGGAAAGATCAGGCGCGGTCTACTTCCTGAAAGCAAGACAGTTGCTCAAACGTCTCATGTGAAGGACTGTTTCAAAAAAACGAATGTTTTCAGTCTGTTTGTGTATATTTTCGGTACTCTGACTTGTACAGTTCGACTAACTGTGGCAGTACTTGAAATGTGTACACTAATCGCTTTAGTGAAACGAGAAAATCACATCGGAATAAAACAGCCCAGGAATTACGCGGGCCCCATATGAACACGTTGGCCTAGTTAGCAGATGGCTATCATTACCAGTAGCACAGCGCATTGTAGTTGCCTTGCTGCAGTTGAATCGACAAACTGACACAAGCCAAACAATTTTATTTAAAAACGGTCTATCACTCATGGTTTAATACTTTTTATATTATCGCTACACGGTAGCGTACGCTAACTTACGTTAGCTTACCTAGCTTTAGTGCAGTATGGCGTTTTTCGTCATACTCACACCGACTAGGAGCGTTTTCTGTGACCAATGAGTTAAACGTTAAGTTTATTTTTGTTGTAGTACGTATGGCTTCGTATGTATGTGGAGTAGTGTGGTGTTTAGTTTGGGAGCCACGACACGTAGCGCCCGTTGGCTAACGTTTGGCTAACGTTAGCTAGCTAGCGTCTCCTTAGCCGTTAACACGAGACAACAGTGTAAAACTAACACTGCGTATCAGAACGTTGGCTCCGCGGAAAAACTCAAACGCTGATCTACACCACTTCGTCAACTGCTAATAGGATTATTGAGCAAGTGTGAGATCGCCTGACCCACCCTTTAACAACGAGGGGTTCGGAACAGCGCTCTCCACGGCAGCTTCACAATAAATGTCGTTTGTTTACGCTGATTCCAGAGTTCCCCTGGCCCTCTGCCCCACAACATATCACTCCGCACAGAAGAGACTTTTGACACGGAAACATTCAATCTCTCAAATGGCGCCTGAGCAACGCATTTTTATGGCAGCTGACATGTACAAAAATTTATGTTTTGAATAAGCTGTATTTACTTAGTTTCTCAAATGAACGTCGAAGACGGACTAGATTCCGCAAGACAGTTTCTTGTTGTAGCTTAAAATACAGGGGGGGTTAATTGTATGGGTAATTTTGTCCTATGTTGGCTGGATGAGTAAATAAAAACAAAGCCTATTATTGTGTGTTTAAACCACGCATATTTGCTCCAGTTTGCAAATCACTTATTTCAAATGTAAACAGATGAACTTTTAGTTCTTCAATTGCAAACACAACCCCTTCATTTGTAAATAGTAGCGTCCGTAAAATGCCCGGGACTGCTTTCTTTGCGTGGATTACGGTCCTGTGATTGACTATTGATCTGCCCAATCAGAAAATACCTTGAGCTTAGCAACAGCAAAATTATTCTCTGGTCCAATCAACAAAGAGTAGGGTGGGCTTTAGCGGACTCGAGATCCTCTTAATTGATTGGTCAAGAAGCTCGCCAGTTATGGTAGACTTGTGGGCTATGTAGTTTTGTGCGAAGGTCTCCGCCAAGGCTTCGCCGAAACGAAAACGTCATACCCCACAATCCACCAGGAGTTGAAAGCAGTAGCATGCGCACGGGTAGAGGCGGAGCTGGTATATAAACACGAGCTCCCTCTTCTTGAGCGGCACACTGGACACTGTTGTGACGGCGGAACGCAGTCTCCGGGTTAACGATAACTCTGACAGCATCGAAACAGTTAATGGTAGTTAGCGACAGTTGCTCTGACAAACCCTTGGAGGAGTAACAAGTGTTTACTGTTCGGAAGTTTACTTTTACTTTGCGCGCGTTTGTTTACAAACGCAAACAATCTCAAAAGTTTCTTTAGTGATTACGCGAGATTGTAGAATATTTTTGTTCAAATTAACGTCTTTTTAACGAACTTTAAAACTCAGTCACGGGAGCATGAATATCATCTAAAAATGTGCTAAAGTGGAGCCATAGGAGCGGAACACCAGGATGACTGAGCCAGAGGAGACGACCCATCACCTGAAAACTTCAGCCAGCCCTTCAGGTGGGAGCAGTGGAGACGCGTTGGAGCATCTCCCAGCTAGAAACCATGATGGACCACAAAACGGCGACAGGGGGCGACAAAGCGAGCATAAGCAGGAGCAGCGGGCGGAGAACTGCGAGGATATCAACACAGACAAGTTACGGCAAATGAAAGGCGGGCAGAGGGAGGTGTGCCCTGGGTTAGCAGCCGGAAACGAGGTCCAGAAGTGCCCGATTTCAACTCAGCCTCATCAGAAACGCAGCATCCAAGGAGCGACAGGAGACCACCACACCACACAGGGAAAAAACGGCCAAGACAGACGGCTGCAGGTACAAGTGGATAGTTTGCACATCGACTCTGATACGGGCTTAGATGCGCGTCTAGGCAAGAAAAGGCACAGGCGCAGGACCTCCAAGAAGAAGCGCCACTGGAAGCCGTATAACAAACTTTCCTGGGAGGAAAAGAAAGCCCTAGAAGAGAAGGAGACTGCCAGAGCTTCGCGCATAAGAGAGGAAATGTTCGCCAAAGGGCTCCCGGTTGCCCCTTACAACACAACTCAGTTCCTGATGGACGAGCACGACCGAGAGGAACCCGACCTCAACACCCAGATGGGGGTCAGGCGGCCTTCTGGGGTCGGGGTTTGCATGGAGGACACTGGCAGCGAGGATGAGGTCTTGGAAAACGAGGACCAGGACTACGATGACGGCAGCGGCGGGGGCAGCGATGGAATCGGGAGGCCCGGGAACGCGGGTGGAGAGTTCCTCCAAAGAGACTTTTCCGAGACCTACGAGATGTATCACGTCGAGAGCCTGCAGAATATGACCAAGCAGGAGCTGGTCAAGGAGTACCTGGAGCTGGAGAAGTGCATGTCCCGGTTGGAGGAGGAGAACAACCGGCTGAGACGCGCCGTGGAGCCCGGGGGTCAGAACTGCTCGGTCCGGGTCAAAGAGATGGAGAAGGAACTGGAGAGACTGAAAGCCCAAAACATGGAGCTGCTCCTGAAGAGCCAGCCCAGCAAGGACAGGGGCCAGGTCGCTACAAATTAAAATCCTTTGGATAAGGTAAAACATGGGACTACTGCATTTTTAAAAGAATTTATCATAAGTTTTTCTGTAAGCAGTTTGTCACCTGGACAAAATAAGTAAATATTTGACGTTTCCCTTTCTATTTGAGCTGTTAATGTCCCATTCGGTTATTGTTTTCAAGGAGAATTGTAAATATTTCAAATTTGATTTCTTTTTTTTTTTCTTTTTTTTTCTTTTTTTATAAAGAGGTATTTGAAAAGAAATTTCCGTTTGTTCCTCTGCTCAACTTTGTAGGTATCCATTGACATAAACTGTTCTGTTTTTAATTTTAAGAGCAAATATTGTATGTCGGATTATTTTTCTCCCCCCTCCAGAAACTGAACAAGAAGAACTTGCAGCTAATTGGGCCATCCTTTCAGATACTTTTTTGCAAAAAAAAAAAAAAAAGACTTCAGCGTGAACATTTTAACAGTTGTGTGTTAACCTTTTAGTTCCAATAAAATAATATAAAAATTGAAGTTCTGAATCAGACTGCCATGTGTTGTTCAGCCTGTCCTCAAACACAGGAAGCTGCAGCTAGGAGCTGCTGTCAGTGGCTTTGGTCAGATTTCTTGTGAGGATTCTGATATGGGCCAGACACAAGGCATCAGTGGCCTCTGAATGGAAGACTACATGAGAAGGGGGGATGGGATATGGATGAGATGCTCTTTATGAAAGCTTAGTCCACTCGGAGGTATACAGGAAGACATGCAAGTGGGATTTTATTGTTTATTTTACTGAATTTTCTAGGTTGTAATACAGACACACTGTGGTTATTATTTTTGCAAGTCAAGGATCTGCAGAAAATTTTTGTCTTTATTCTGACTTGATAATGAATTTTCTCATCATTACAGCTACCAATCACATAATATATATTTACACCCCGCCCCCAGTTAAAATTAGTAACTTCACAAGTTTAGGCAGGCCTGATACAAAGAGACATGGCACCCAGAGATTTGTTTTGCAATCAATGGGATAATTATGTAGCAGGATAGATAGTGGTAGAGGTGTAACTTACATTTTTATTAAGTTCATTTAGAAATATCTTGCAAATGCCTAAGGGGGGTTCCAAAATGTCTGGCGAGTGGTGAGACTTGTTCCTGAAGAGCCTGTGGACAGCCATGCAGACAAGGTTGGTTACTGATCATGTGAGAAGTGCTGCTCATTTGCAAAGCCTAAGAATGTGATGAAAAGTGTGTCTTTACTTTGGTGGGGTCATCCGTTTTAATAGAATCCCATTATTACAGCTGCTACTCACAGAATCCATAAATATTTAAACATTCCCATAAATTAAAATAAAGACCCTCAACGCTCCAGATTCCGTTTCCCTTTGTCTTATTCCTCTTCAAGCCTCTAGGGGGAGCCAGTCAGCTCCTATTTTAAGATGCCCGCGCTGCAAAATGTGAGGCACATCTCCACTGTAAAAAATGTGTTTTGCGCACACACAAGTCACAAACGCAAACACATTTTTTTTAAACATAGTTCTGTTTATTTACATCATATAACCTGCTTTTAAGCACACAGCCACGAGGGAAATGAGTTCAGGCGGACAACCATGTTTTATTTGTTTTTTTCTTTTAGTCCAGTCATTTTTCATATTAGTCATACTCGAAAGCAATTCCAAATGTACACAATACAATATGTTACATATTAAGATAGTATGTACAAAAAAAGAAACGCTTTTAAAATACAACAACGACACAAAAGGTAAAATCACATTTCAGACTGTCGACGTTTCCCTTTGATGAGGTTTTTGTTCATCTTTAGGAAACTGGATGCTGTCTGGCATGACCTAATGCAGTTGTAGGGTGGGGGTGTGTTAGGTGTACCTTATTCACACACTGTGGATTATTAGGCATAGAGAGGTGACCTCAGTTTGTTTATAAAAAAAAAACAAAAGAAGCAGCTGAGAGAATACTATGCTTTTCCCCTCCTCTGTTAAAGGCAAAGGGAGTGCATAGAAGTGTCCTTGGCTTGAAGTGTGCTTTACTTTTCTTTCTTTCTTTTATTTTGTTTTGTACAGCCTCTCTGTTAGACTGCTTGTATTTAATGTACACATCTTTGGGTCAGTGCCTCAATTATACCGTCAACCACAGCAGAGGAGGGGAGGAGACCCAGAAATAACAAAAGGAAATGGAAGGATAAGAACCGAGCATGGCACTGCAGAACAAAAACACATTCCAGAAATCAGGCACTTGTAGAAAAAAACCTTGAGGTAAGACGAGACTAGAACCTATTTATTATTATCATTCTTCTTCTCTTTCACTGGGTTATTATTTGGTCGCAGGGAAACAAGCAAGCCTTTTGTGACTTCTGAGTTTGCACCTCTCGCTCGGGTCGTGTTTTTTTCGCTACTGCAAATTGGTTCTGCGGTCAAGACGAGACAGAAACAACAGACTCTTGTTCTTCTTTTTTCATTTCCTCCAACGTACCATTTCCCCACTCAGGGAAGATTTATTAGAACCTGACCTTGTGTGCTGAAAACACCAAAAAAAAAATAAAAAAAAAAATCCTACACCAGTCTGTTAAACACTGTCAGGCATCTTCTTTTGAGCTCCTGTGTTCAGTGAATATGAGCTGATCTGTTGAGGCAATGCTCAGTAATGCCAGACTTGAAGCCCTGGCGGCATGATCAGCTGTCTGCAAACTGTCCGATATCACGTAATAATTACCTGATTAAAATTCAGAACTTGCTACATGTTGTTACTACAGAGTGTTGTGTACATTTTGTCTAACTAGCCATGAGATAATCTTTATTATAAGACTTATCTCGTGAGATAAAGGTTTCCTGCACAGTGCTGTGAATCAGAAAGGCCATCTATGAGGAAATAAGGAATACGTTTAGTCGTGTTTATCTCGTCTCCTTTAAACAGGTACACCCAAGAGGTGAAATTGCAATAAATTTTACTTTAATACAAAATATATATATTTAATATATATATATATTGAATATAAAACAAAAACAAATAATATATTAAGGGAAACATTTCAAGTAACATCTTGAAAACAAAACCAAACAAAAAAACGACTGTGCACTTATTTGCACTTTTGTAAACCTTAAAAAAAAGACCTAAAAAAAAAAAAGTACAAACAAATATTATAACATAATATTTATATTTACAGGGTTAACTTAACAAGGCTTTGTACAAATGTTACAAAAATCGTTTAACACAAACACCTGCACGTTTAGACATGGTCACGAATATTTTTGGGCAAACACACATAAACATTATTAACAAGTAGAGGGAGACAACTGCATTTCATGTGAGCTGAAGTTTGGTGGAGTTTTACAGTGTGAATGGTCAGAGGGGAAACGTTAGGAAGACTGATATGAAGAATCAGTTGTTTGCCCTCCTGAAATGGTTTTATATGATTTTTTTAAAATTTTTTTAAATAACTGTAGAAGCTGCATTTCAGCATCCTCGTCTGGTCGATTAAACGTTTAATTTACGTCATCTGTGATCCAGACAGGAAGGAAGAGAAGACAAGAGGGATGCTCAGTTGTTACTCGAATCAGAATTCTTGGCTCTTACGTCGACCGTGATGACGTCTGTTTGTGTCTCTGTCCTATCATTTCTATAAGAGCACACTTAAAGGAAAAAGAAAATGAAAGCTTTGGCAACACTGGAACGCACCCTGCCATGCAAATGGAGCTCAATGAAAAGTAAAAAAAAAAAACAACAACAACAAATAAGGTGGGCCGTTTTTCACCTGTCCACCAACCACATCCCTGTTTGTACTGCTGCCAGTTTACTGACCTGCAGGCCGTCAGCAGCTCAGCTGGACATCCACTCCCCCATCCTTACGCACAAACTGAGAATCAGCAGCTTTGGCCTCTTTTCTTGGAGCGGTGGTTGGGGTCAGGGTTCAAAGGTACTGGTGGAAATTGGAGGTGGGTGCTTGACGTGTAGCGGGTCCTTGGTCACGCCCTTCTGCATCCCGAGGCAGCCCTTGTGTTTTGACCTGGTTTTGATTGTTAGGAGATAAGGGGAAATCGCTGACAATCAGCTGGGGTCTCTTATCGGACATCTCAGTCGGGGAAGCCACCACAGTGTGTCTGCGCCAAGCCCGCTTCTTCCTGCGCGTCTCGGGTGACGGTGGTTTCCGCAGTCCGACGCGGTGCAGGTTGTCAGCTGAGCCTAGCAGTCGGGCGCGGACCTGATCGGCCAGCGACTTCCCGCCCGGGCCGGTCGGAGTGAAGGAAGCGGCCTCGCTGGGCAGCACTGCAGGCTTGGGTCGGGCTGGGCGCAGACTCTCCTGGCTGCTGCCTGAGGAAGTGTTGGTTCTGGAGGTATCCCTCTTTGCTGTGGGTGCACCTTCCGTTCCTGAGCCGGAGCCCTCGGATGGAGCCGTGCCCTCGGGAGACTCCATCAGGTCCAGGGAGCGAGTCTTGTTTTTCTCAGACTTCAGCTTCCTCCTGGCCAGAGTGTCGCACTGGATCAGCTTGTGGGAGTTAAAGGAAGGCCGCGAGTGCAGTCTGTGAGTGGTGGAGGAGGACGAGAAGGAGGAGGAAGAAGGTGTGGTGGAACGGGCCCCTCCGTCGCTCCTCTCCGCGGAGTCTGGTGTCTGTGTGAGGGAAGTGGGTGGGGTGAGAATGTTACTGGTTGATAGAGTGGGGCTTTTGTAGTGTGTGTAGAGAAAGCTTCGCGGCGGCGCCAGCAGCTGCGTGTTTACAGGTGGCGCCGGGTGTTTATCGGGTCTCTCCTGTGTAAGAGAGCGCGAGGCGAAGCCGCTCTCATTATCTGTCTCGCTCACCAGCTCGCTGTGTTCATCATCAGCATCGTCCCCCCTCCCCTCAGATCCCAAGCTCCGCCCTAAAGTAGAGAGGGTGGAGTAACCTGAAACTATAGATCGAGCATCCTCTGGAGCTCGCCACTGAGGCCCCTTCACCTCCGCCTGCACCTCCTCCTCCTCGTTTAACATGGCTGCCTGCCTTCCTCCCGCCTCCTCTTCCACTTTGCAGGACAACCGATTGGGTTTAACGGCCGGCTCCTCTTGTCGCTCCTCTTTCACTCTGCTCTCTACAACTTCCTCATCCTCCTCCTCCTCCTCGTCCTCTTCTTCCTCTTCGTCATCATCCTCCTCTCCCTCTGCTCGAGGAGCAGTGTCTCCTACTGGCGACTCCACCTCCTCTTCCTCTCCTGCCCCTAAATGTCCAGCTTTGATCGGCTCATGCTCAGAGTCGTCGTCGGTGCTGCTGCCCACGCGGCGGGCGTTATGGCGCTTCCTGCGTTTGCGGCCAGTAACCGCTGACATGATGGACAGAGCCAGGAATTCCTTGGCTGTGAGGTCCTTCTTTGACCCCCATGACCCCTGAAAAAGCAGGAAATATTACTGCTGAATCTGTGCGTGCAGGAGGTTGGACAATCAGGCTTGCTTCATGTGAGGGGAGGTTACCTTTGATTTCGCTGAATCACTGTTGGTTGAATCTGGGGAAAAGGAAATGGAGACATTTGTGGGTCAGAACGGACGAAGTAAACAAAAGGCCAGAACAGTCATGGTGGAGGACACAGAGGGAGTTGCTGTGATCATCACTTATTTTTTTAAAAGGAAAAAAACAACAATAAATAAAATAACTGCTCCTGCACTGCTCCCTGTATGTTCCTACAGACTTTAATGCTGATTTTGCTATGAAGCAGGTTGTTTTCCATCAGGTGCAAAGTGGACAACACCGCCTGGGACATTGCGTCTTAACGTGTGGCTAATTTTTGGATAAAATTGTGTTTATTCTCAGAAAACTGCAAAAAGTTTTAATCAGTACTTCACATGTTGCAGGCAGTGGTTCATTCTGTGCTGTTTTTATGGTGATGGATGCTTCAGGGACTCAGATTAACCTCCTAATGCCGAGGTCATGGCAACCTGTCTGGGGTTAGGGTTAGTTTTGTTTGGTCACATAACAAATAGGAAACCATTTTCATAAACAAGAAGATGTTAGATTTCCTATAAGGTCTAATACATTTTGACAGCATTAGACTCTATTTTCTTGTAGAGGAACATTTTGTTAAAAGAGTGCAAGTTAACTAAGCCCCTATAAAGGGGTCGACAATGACCTGGCAGATGCAGATTGAACAGTTTTGATTGGATTCAATTTATGCATATGATGTTCTGCTCCTTAACCTTAAATGAAAAAAAAAAAAAAAATCACAATTGCATCTCTATACAACGGTTTATTCTGCAGTGAGCAGTGCAGCTGCAGTTGTATCTCCAATTCCTGTGATGGATTTTTAAAGGAACTTGTTTTCCTCTGTGGCCTCGGACCATAACAAGGACAAAAACACTGAATCACACACTGGAGTTGTGTTCAGGGAAAACAATGATTGGTGGGGGAAGCAGGGTTTGGTGTTGGAGGAGAAACCTCATTAGAAAAATCACGGCACACACTGATGACATCACGAAAAACACGGATGGCATCGGTCAGTGAAAGAAGCAGTACGAAAAGAAACGCAATCCTCACAAATGAATGCAGGAATGAAGCCCTGGATTTGTCTTTCATGTATCGTAGTAAAGGGAACACCCAAATCTCTTGAGAAACCGGGGAGGGTTGGTAAGGTTTTCTGGATGGAGCTGTTTCTCAGGGACTCGGCAGTAATGACCACGTCAGTGTATTTTCTGCTCAGCTTAGAGAAGTTCTCTTGTTTACCAGAAAGCTAGTGATGACATTCAAAATGTAACACAGCCTTTCTTACTGCTACACTTACATCACTTACCCACTACAATTCTGATACACATAGGACCAACGCATTTTTTACTAATGCATTACTAACACATTACTAACGCATTATGCCAGCCCAAACTGGCTTTAGCATATAAAGAAACTACCGTCACTATTTACAATTAGAGAGCAAAGTAAGAAATGAACCGACTGCGCCTGGATTTTGAAAACAACTTTTGTAAATCACCCATAAAACCAACAACACCTGAGTTCTATTATTGAAAATCTGGCCTCTTAAGTTAACTATGGCGACAGCTATGAGCGGACTTTATAGACAGAAACAATTAAATATTAACAGACAACCCTTTTGAATCGTTTTCATCTGAACTTTTCTAATGTGAGGATCGCAGGATTTCTGTTGTTTCTTCTTGAACATTTTTTTTGTTTTCATCTGTATAATTCTGTTGATTAGTATAGATTTGGTATACGTTATTAGGATATTACACATGTTAAATATGAATTTGATGGGTAGGATACTTGAGTATTCTCTCCATACCATCACTGGTGATGATCCCAGTCTGACCTTTGAACCCTAACCCTATGTTTGGAGACAAGCAAAAAGTACTTTTTGGAAAAAAATTGGGATTTTTCTTTGGCCTTGACTGAAAAGACATTCTAGTAGCACAGGGTTAAAGTGAAAGCTAGGATCATCACTGATGATAACTTAGATCTCAGGGGTAAGGCAAAGTGAAGCTCAAGTGCAGCCCTGGCAGATTAACTGATCTCAAGCCTACGTCAGCTGATACATTTCTAGGCAAATCTCATATAAGGCGCATAATTTAAGCCGCTTTGCAACCCATCTCCACCCCAGCTGTTCTTTTTGCAATGTGTTTCACTATATGAGTATCACATCCTTTGCAACTGAAGCCAGGTCTGCTGCTCTTCCTGCTTGTATGCAGGCTGGCTGTTAGGAAACCTCAGAACAGACTATAGTAGTCCTGACTCAAATACAGTTATATGTTTCCCTACATAGCAACTTTACAGTTTGACAAGCAAGTACGGAACAAACTGTGAATGTAATTTTCCTTATAACCTTATTTTGCATATATTCTTTTTAAAAGATAATAATATGAGATGCTTCGCTTGTTACCATATATACCAGTGCCACATTAGACATTCCTAGTTCACACTGTGCCGATAATACATGAGAGGACACGTCCCTGTGAGTCCACCCCAAGCTAAACAGACTTCCTGTTACGTCTGCACTCACTTTGGCTACAAGGAGGGAGCTTCCAGCTGCCATCTTGAAGCTTTTACACAAAATATTTTCTTTTGAAGGGATAATGAAACAATGAAACAGCACCATGCAGAGTCCCTTTACAGGCAGAAGTGATGTTAGGATTTTTACGATGGGGCCACACAGACCGAAATTGCCTGTAGGATGAGTGCAGCGCAGTGCTCGGCAGGGCACAGGCCACCAGTGAAGGAGTTGTCTCTCAGTGACAGAGCACAGTTTACACTCCGGTGTCAGATAAAGCAGCTTTAACACTCAGAGAACATCCAGTCATCCATTAATTCATTAGTCAGACTGGGGCCGACATTGAAGTGACATGTTTTTACAGAGACTTCAGTCTGACGCTGAGAGGGAGACGCTGACTTTCAGGAGGGTAATGGAGACCATGGAGACACAAACCATCACCACCGCTAACACACACACACACACACACTCTCTCACACCCATTATTATTACTTTCACAGTATGGTGCACTGATTTGGTTGCACACACACTCACACACACAAACAGTGCCATCCTACCGCAGTGGCTGCGCCACAGGCTCAGCTGAGAGAAGGAAATGCAGAAATGTACAGAGAAAGTGAAAGGTGAGCAACATGGAGGGGAAAAAAGAGGTCAGCAGAAAGAAGAGAAGTAAAGGCACACTATCAAACACAGAAACACTCAAACTGCTAACGGATGTTCATTCCTTGAGCTGCTTTCCAGTTCTGTTGGAAAGTAGGGAAATCATACTTTAAACTGGGACAAACTTCCAAGGAGAATTCTGAATCAGGCCAGGAATTCTATCAACTGCCTTTAAGCAAACTAAATCTGTTAGTCCTAGAAATATATTCCTTCAGATTAATTGTAAAAACCTCTCAGTGGAACTTCGGTGATCATTGGTTTCTTTTAATATTTATAAATGTATTACTGTTGTCTTGTTTTAGACAAACCTGGCCGCACAACATTCAACACGCAAGTGAGGAATTACCTACTTCCAGCTTTAAATGAAAAGCAGCAGCATTCGTTTCGCGTTTACTAATTCTAACTCAGTGCTACTGGTGCGGCTCGTCACAGAAAGGCGGAGCTGTAAACAGCGTGCTCACCCGAGGCTTCGCCGAGCAGAGCGGTCCTGCCGATGTTGGAGAGCAGGTGGTCGATGTTGGGGGCGGGCTGCACGTCCTCCGTGTCCACTGGTGTCTGCAGGGACGGGGTAGATTTGCTTTAAAAACTCGGAGCATTGCATCCATAAACTGTGAAGTATCCGCCGTAGTTTTAGGGGCCTTTTATGTCTTTATTATGGGCAGTACATGACAGCAAATGAAGAACAGAGTGAGACAGACTCAAATTGGGGACGTGGCTAGCATCTCAATCCCTAGGCCAAGAGCTCAAATGCAGCTATCATTAATTCAGCTCCATTTCTGGAGATCAAGTGTAGCGGCTGCTGCATACTTATGAGACAATTATCATTAGGGAAATATTAGTTATTGAAACTGGAAGAAGATTCCTAGAAAGGTCAATAAGTCTTGAATGATTTGCTTTTGAATGCATGTCTCAACAATTTCCAATTTCACAAAGATTAAAAATTAAATGTCGCCACCAAACAGCAGAGTGACTTGTTGGGTTTGTCAGAGAGCTCCATTACATCATGAAAAAATATTAAATGACCAAATAAAAAGAAATAATGAATGATGTGACTCTTCACTCAACCAGTCATTTTTCTTAAAATGTTGGATACAATGTTTCAAATTCCCGCAATAGTGGATTTTCTTTTTTTCCTGTCATTTTCTAGAGCAATAGAGATTCTTTCGCAGAGCTGCTTTGCAGTTATTTGCAGTGACGTTTGCAACTTTGTGCCAAACATTCTGCACTTTTTTTTGGTCAGTTGCAGCATCTATCATTGCCTTTGAAAGCATACCTTCTCATCCTTGTCTAGCTCGTCAGTGAAAAACCAGGTGCACTGCAAGAAAGCCGGAGAAAGAAATACTGAGCATGACTTGGATACTATTAAGGATGTAAGTGAATTATACTGTATGTGCGCGTTTGCATCTCTCACGTGTTGTATGAGCGTTTCTACGATCTTGTAGCGGTCGGGCATGTGAGTGACCATGTCTTTCATGTTGTCCTCAGACGTCCGAACCAGCGTCGGCCCAAACACGAGAGCCAAGTTACGAGGCTCCATCTAGAGACGCCAGGAACATATTGATGGCATTAACACCAAATACTTAACAGTGATACATTTTGTCCGCATTTACAAATTCCCTTTATCCCACCTTGTTTTTATCCGAGTTGTCGGCTACAGTCTTCAGGTGACCAACCAGGAACTTGAGAGTGTGGTAATAATGATCTGGGAGGTCGCGGATCTGTACAAATGAAAGGAAAACAGAGTGAAACGTCAAAACCGTAAACCTGTTTAACCTGCCCGACTTCTGCGCGCACTTAACCCAAGCGGGTAAACACGTACCAACTTCTTCATGGTCTTCAGTCTGTCGGATGCATTTTCCATCCGATTGGCATCGATGAAGTCGTTGTACTTGTCTGTTAAGATATGAGAAGATATAAAAAGTCAGATGAAGCTGTGTGATTAGGCTGCATAGCGATGTTTTGCGATGGCATGTTGGAACCTGTTGGTCTCACCGTTGGTGAAGAGTGGCTCTGGGAGTTTCCTGAAGAAGGATTTGAGTAAGCTACTGACGACATTGAGGTCCTGCCACTTCTGCAGACGACAGAGCACACAGGGATGACTCAGATATCGTTACCAATCACCTTTTGTACTAAAAGTGCCAGTTAATTGTTTCTTTTTTTCCTCTCTTTGAGGATCGACAGTATTCTTGCCTTCTATGATCATGTAAAAGTAAAAAAAAAAAAAAAAAAAGCAGATCCCAATGATTCAGCAGGCTTGTAGAAACACATTCAGGAGCAATAACTTTAAGTTACGGTTTTCTGCATGACTTTAGAAGCCTCTCACATTGTTATCGAGGAATTTCCTGGAATCTTTTCAAACAATCTTTGGAAAGACTCTTGAAGGTTTTCCATTTCTACCTCTTGGACAATAACAGACTTCAAATTGTTTGGAAATGAGGCGCTCACACTTGCTAATGATCAGTTTATCAAGTGCATTCAATTAGCAGCACCTGGCACCTGTGAAGCAATAAGTGTGTACTTACTGCTTCTGGATTTTGGCTTATTTTTTGCTAAATAAATTACAGCACTGAGGTTCATCTGAGGTTGCGTTTACAGGCTATTTTAAGACCTACGAAGCACCAGATGATTTTTTTATGTGCTGATATGTAAAATCTCAGAAATGAAAGAGGCTGCACTTTTTTTTTTTTTTCTTTTTACACGACTGAATGTATATTTATATTTCTGCACCTCCTCTGCAGGGTTGATGTCCACGCCCTTGTTGAGCTGCTCCTGGAGCAGCGACACCATGGCGTTATTCCCTGGGACTCGGTAAATGCCGGTGTATTCCAGACCCATCTCCTCCACGAGGCCACAGCAGATCTCCACAATCATTGGAACGAACTGCAGAAGGAGACACGGAAACGTGTGATCACAGAAAATAAGGAAAAGGAAAACGGTTTTACCGCATTCAGGTGGTGACAGAGGTCAGTGAGGCTAACCTTGTTATTTGTACCAGGTTGACATTCCTCCAGCCTCACACCGAAAGCTTTGGGCCCAGCTTTCTTTGCTTTCTTCATGATGTTAATTCCCCATGGAGACTTGGGAGGGCTGCTCTCATCTGTAGGCAGGTTGAACAGAAACTTAGCAACTTCCATGTTTGACTAAACACCTTCTTATCCAAACGCTGTCACCCATTAAAACAAAAATAAAAAAGGATTTGAAAACCAGCAGACTGCTTTAATAGAATGGGATAAAAATAAAAAAAAATCTCTAAACATTTGAAAAGGTTAGTACTTACTTTGGGCAAGAGTTGCACTTTTTAGGTCAGTCTTATGTATAGTTGCTTTGTGTTAGCATGGTATAATTAAATATTGAAATAATATGGACAAAAAAGAGAAGAAACAACAAAGCAGTTGACTAAAGGTGCCTCCACAACAAGAGTGAATATGACAACTAAATGATGAGCTATTCACAACTTTGAGGAGTTCCAAATACACTCATAATTGGTCTAATTAATTCTTTATAGTTTTGATTCCAAGATTAGTTTGAAGACAAAGTCAGTAGCAAAGTTAGAGCCCAGGATTCAGCAAATGCCGAATGCCAGCGTGGATGGCTTCGAGTCTCCCCGACACTGACCTTTGCCTTCTGGTTTGGGCGAGCGTGGCGCTCCAGCAGCGTTCTCCGTCTTATTGAGCAGGAAGGGAGGCTTCATACGGGACAACTTGGGAGAGGAGTCTGGCTTGATGACAGTTGGACTGTAGGGGGAGACAGAGAGACAGTGTAGGTATTACTGTTGTGGTTCATTTAAATTTAGCTGTATCTGCTCGTCCGGTGGCAAAAATCCAGGACAGGTTAGAGTAAATTTAACTTCAATTTAAGTTAACCTGCATTTTTCTGGTGTGTGGGAGGGGAATATCCAGGCAGGATGAGGAGAAAGGACAGCAATATTCATGATCGGGTGACTCACCTTTGTTTTCTGTAGTCATTAAGCTTCTTATTAATGAGGGCCTGCCTGGAAAAGCCGAGCTCCTGCGAGACATAAACACACCTGCATTATGAGTCTGAGGTTTTCACTGAGAACATATTAAATGCATACAGTTATTGAAAATCTGCCCGGTAAAAGTGTGTTCTCTGACCTCGTTGTCTATCTTGCTGTTCTCCCCGATGACCTTTATCCAATTCAGCATGTCCTCCCGGTCCTCCGCTTGCAGCAAGTACTCACAGAAGTCCTGGGTGGTCAGCCGGAGGGCGTGCTTTCGTTTGGTCTCGCTGTACGCGATGTCCACCAGGCAGCCCTGGATGCTGATCGGCTGCTCATCCTCGGCCGAACCTCCAATTGTGGCTCCGCGAAGCACCGCCTCCCGCTTATCCTTGTAGAGGAACAGCGATTGGGAGCGAAGAACCGAAAAGACGCGCTTCCACGGACGCATGGCGCTGCCTACCTTCTGTGAAGGAAAGAGGAGATGTGATGCGACTCCTTTGCTATGCTTTCCAGATTTCTCTTGTAATCAAGCTCGATTTGCCCACCTTGCCCTTCTCGGTGTGGATCTGCTTGTAGTGCAGCCATCCTTCTCGCCATACATCGCTGTAAGTGATGTTTCCCAGCTCCGAGGTGGAGTGACGTTTCGACCGAACCTCCTCCGCTGTCCCGATGTTGTCCAGAGACTGAAACACAATCGGAAAAGTTTTCAGGTAATTTGTTGACTTTCTGTTTTCAGTTAGCTAGTGTTTAGAGCGGATTTTCTCATTTCAAGTTAGTTTTTATTATCTGAAAATCTTTCGTTTTAGTTTCGATTCTATTGGTTTCAGTGTTAGTTTTAGTCTTTTTTTATTTTGGTTGTATAACATTTTTTAACAGAAACCAAAAGTAAGCATCTTACTTTTTCTTTTAAAGTTAGTTTTCAAAGCTCACAAAATGGTTTCAGCCGGTTTTCACCTTCTGTTTATTTTTTAACTCTCAAGCTTCTTTTATAATGTGCAAAAACACATCAATGCATATTATTTTGTGTTGCTAATTATTGTTTAAATTTAAAATTGCTTTTAAAAATACCATGCAACAGTTTCAAAGAAAACTGTACTCTTCATGCTGACCTGGCAGAAGATTGCAGTAGTTTCCATACTGCAGAATTTTGCAACGGACGAACCACCAGTTCAACTATCAGCTATCGCACCTTTATGTGTCTTTGTATATGGCCAAATATTACCTGATAAAAGCTTTATTAAAACATAACACAATCCTTTCCTTGCACAAATAAAAAGCTGATTTAAAAAGCTGTAATAACAGAAGACACACTCATAGTGTTCCAGTGTAACCAGCTCACGGTAGCTGTAGTTAAATTATATTTAACGTTGGCAAACTTAAGCCACGTGTCCCAACACTTCATTTCAGACTTTATGACTCTTTTATGGCAGCGTGTCACAGAAAAAACACCTCACTGGTTTTAATGACAAAAGTTTAATATGATTTGTGTCTCTGTAGCTCGGCGGTGGCAGGAAGAAGTCATTTGAAACTCCTTCAAAACCTCAGCCTGAATTTGATAATGAGAATTAAAATGATTATAATAACTTGTTTTAGATGTTTGTGCAACCATCCATCCATTTTTTTGTATGACCGCATTTAAAAATATTAATGTTGGTTTGCCATAATTAATTCATTGCCTTAGTTAAATAAATACAAATGACTGGTTTAAATTCAATGTGGGTTGATAATGATTTAGTTGCATTTGTTTGCATTTTAGCTTCGTCTTTGAATTTTATGATAACATGCAAAGTATTTACAGATCGTGTCAGTTTATGTGCAGTAATAAAAAGTGAGGAACTCACCCCATCTGTGAAGAAGCTCTTCACTCTTTTTGGAAGCCTCCTACTTGAATATAACATCACAACAAAGAGTCGTTAATATTAATAATGTGAAATATAATTTCTATCAGGTGTCTGGGATCTGCAGTACTTACAAGGATCGTCCGTCCTCTCTGAACGTGTTGAGTCCTTCGTCACATGACTTGGAGCGCTCGCTGGAGATGGCTAGAACATAGGAGGAACGGCGACTGGATTTAATACTGCCTGCTCAGTGAGGGATGAATGAATGAATGGAGAGAACGAGAGAGAGAGAAGAGAGCAGAAAGAAAGAGGAAGAGGAAAAAAAAAAACAGAAAGAATGTTGATGTAATGCCAATCACCAGAGTGGTGGATGGTGTTGGATTAGGAGATTGGGGCAGTGAGGGAGGAAGCGGGAGGTGGTGGAGGAGTGG